AGGCCTGGCGCGGGGGAGGGGCGGGCGCCGTGGTCTGCCCTGCGTTCTGGGTTCTTCCCATCCAGTGGGAGAAGTGGCTTTGTAAGGGCTTGGCCTTCAGGAAATGAAGACCCAGGCAGGTCGACTCGTTGGCATATGTGCGACGTGAAGTCCCCTTGCCGTCATCTTATCTTCCTAGATGCTTTGCTGTGAGAGCTGCCTGTGAAGTGCCGGGTGTCTCTGGGCCCCTTGAAACGCAGCTGAACTGTTTTAGTGCATACATAATAATTGCTTCTTCAGATTAGCGGAAAGAACAGATGAAGTTACTGGTTTTATTGAGAAAAATATCTTTTTGAGGCTGTTTGATCCTGTTGTGTTGGCCAGGTCAGTGCAGCCTGGAAAATGAGGCTGAGACTCCTGCCAGCACTAGGAGCTTCTTCCTAGTTGCAAGACAAAATTGTGTCCTGGTTTATACCTGTATACGGATAATGGATTTTATTGCTGTCCTTTGGGTCAGAATTTGTGCTGCTGAATCTTACTTAAAGATACTCGTATCCAGAATTAGAAGTCGAGCTCACTCTTTCAAATTACTTTTTCCCTCCTTGTGAGAGCAAGTTTGATGTATGTTTTCTGAGAGAAAATTGCAAACACAAATATAAGCCTACGCTGTTCTTAAGAAATCTTTTCTTAGAATAGTTAGTGTAGCTAAAGGTCTACCTCTATTGAAGATGCATTTTCCAGCCTGATGAATCCCTTGACTCCACAAACGTCTACTGAGTGAATACTTAATCTTTGTTGAAGCGAGCGCCTTGGCTTACAACTCTTCAGGGCTTGATATTTATGGCCTTTATTAAGTTAATAACGCTGTTGTGAGTTTCCTAAACCAGTGATAAGACTTTTAAGATGCACCTAACTAGCTTCATGTTCTGAAGTGAACAAAATATATGGGCATTCTTAAATCAAATGCCCACTTATTTTTCCCTCTCTTAAACATGACCTAAATCTCATTATAACCAGTAGAAAGGCCAAGACTTGTGTGTAGGATTTCTTGTGGTCAGGAATATTGGATATGTTTAGAATGGAATGATTAGTATAGTTTTTTACGGTCAACGTGAAGGGTGTCATTGAGCATTGGCAGTGAATCTAACCTTTGATCTTAGCCAATTACTTATCATAAGCATGTCTATATTTACATTCAGATTGTTTTTATGTTTTACTTTTAGAAGACTGTTCAATGCTTGAAATAAAATTGACTTTACATCAAGTCTGTATTAATTTGTATTTTACTTGTATTTCTTCCCAAACTAATTTTGTGTTCCTCTTTCATCTTACAGCAATTGGAAGACTGTGTGAAAAATGTAAGTATAGCTTCTGCATATAGTTGCTTGAGAAAATTGGTGTGTGATTAGAGGATGCGGTTTGGATTTGGGGATTGGATGCTATTTTTGCTCTACCACCAACTTCCGACAGGAGCTTGGACAAACCGCTCTGAGACAGGAAGAGTTACTTTTCTGATGCAAGTCCAGATCAGTGAATATTTATAAAGATCAGTGCTCAAATAGACTGTCACACAAATGCATGCTATTCTAGTGTATATACTGCCAGCATTTTAAGTCGCTGAGGCTGTAATGAGTTCTTGATTCGTTCCTTGTAACCCGTTTGTAATGCAAAATGATCAGCCTGATCACTTCAAAGCAGGAAGAAAAAAGGCATTTTCAGAGACTGACTTCTTCATGCTTTGATAAAGGTTCCCCTCAGAATCTAGGAGCGCAAGAAATGGAGAACAAAGCCACCTGGTGTTAGAGTAGATTAAGAACCACAGAATCAAATGCAGTTTTCAGCTGTAGAAGAGAGGAAAGAGTTTGATCAGGCATTAGATCCTTGAAGGGGCACAGTACAAATGAAATCAGATGACTAGTTTGGGACTCAAAAATAATATGAAAATAAGCAAAGCGGGGAGAGACTTCGTCTGAGGCAAGGAGTTATTTTCAAGAGCAATTCAGCAGTGAAACGGTAGTACCCATTAGTAGTAGTTGAGGGCTGTCATGATGGAGATTTAAGAGCAGGTTAGATGAGCTGTTTGTGGGAGTTAGGATTAGATGGCTTGGGAACTGGTAATAGGATATGAAGCCTTTCATCTCTAGGTCAGTGTTTTGGATAAGGCCCAGGACAGCAGAGACTGTCGATGGCATCTGATGACTGTTTTATATGAGTACTTGAGTTTCACTCAGTTCCTTGTGAGAGAGCCACTTTACAAAAGTTGCTCTTGATGTTTACGCCAGTTTGCCCTTTTCTTGGCCTTCTCACAGATGAAGGATTAAAAAGACCACAAGTACTAATTCTTGTCTCATCTCTTGGAAGCCAATAACTCCAGGCTCTTGTTGATGGGGCACTGTAGGAGAAGTTCATACTGCTGCTTCTGTGTGGGGAAAGACGCTGATCCTGTCAGTCCTGTGCTTTTTCACAAGTGAAAAATTAAGGAAAAGCTGTATAGTAAAAGTAATGTTATGATATAAGCAGGTGTTGGTTAATCACAGGAGATGTAACTAGCTTTCCTCTCTGATTGTCAGTGCAAGATCTAAATTAAAAAACAAACAATAAAAAGTATTTCAGGCTACTAGCCCTTGTTCCTCTGAAGTCAGCATGCAAATATGAAGGGACTGCCTGTGCTTGTAAAATAGGTTTCCTCAATTGTGTTGTATTGTCTTTGAGCGTACAGGCAAGTTTTTGGACTTGGAAGCTATTCCTCTTCTATGTGGGGGTGTAGAAAAGGACATTCTGTAACCAAAGACTGTGCTGTACTTTCAGGTGATGGCAAATGTGTGATCTGTGATTCGTATGTGCGGCCCTGCACTCTTGTGCGCATATGTGATGAGTGTAACTATGGTTCGTATCAAGGACGCTGTGTGATCTGTGGAGGTCCAGGAGTATCCGATGCCTACTACTGCAAGGAATGCACCATCCAGGAAAAAGATGTAAGTTGTCATTCAGTCTCCTATTGAACTGGTTGTGTCTTTATATAATAGCCATGCTTACCTTAAAAGGGGCTTGGAGCTAGTGAGATAAGTAAGCTTTGGGACGTGGGACACTTGCTTCTGCTACTAATACTGCCGCTGGTTTTCGCTACGTTGTACCTTTCTTGCCCTGTTGGTCATGCTAACGTGTCTTTGTATAGCATTTTGAGATAGCCTAGCAAGCGGTGCCTTAGTTCTCCTGTGCCTTTCATCTCACAGGGTCTTTCAGTACAATGCACTGAATACTCGTGGTTCACTTCCTCCACACACTGCTTGTTACTGCTTCACGTTGTTATCTTACTCAATCTCACAGTCTGTTTTATCGGGGTCAGAGGTATTTCAGATGCTGCAAAGGCTGATGTTTTGGTAGGAGCAGCTTGTAACTAAAAGTCCATGATCAGCCACTGACCAGCGACGTGTAAAGCCTACCAAATCACAAATGATGTTTTCCTTTGGAGTAGGAAATAAAGTTAGATCTTAGTGTCCTGTGTCCTTGCTCCATTAATTGTCTTTTGCGAGTTTAAAATTTCCTGTATACTTTCACTGGGATATTAACTTTTTATTCTTATCTGGAATGGCCTATATTGTAGATATTTCTTTTTCTGCCAACACTTTCTGGTGCAATGATCCCATATTTCTGTAGTCAGTACTGTTTAATCTTGCCATATTGAAAGATAAAGACAGCCACCGTGCATGTGAAGTGAGGCAGCTGTTCTCCTCTGACTCGGTGTTTGTTGATATCCATCACGGTGAATGCAAGATGTGAAGAATGGCACCTGCAAACGAAGTAGCAGAAAGACCTTAAGAAGAAGCAAGAACGCAACGCTTAATAACAATTGGAATATCCCCAGAATATGGATGTGATGGCTGTGAGAGTGTCTATTAAGGCCTGTTTGGTTTTGGTTTTAATAAGCCCCAATGACTGAGACAGCCTTCTCCTTTGCAAATAACATCTCCAGCAAACCCTAATGTCGGTAGAGAACATGCTGAGAGAATGGTTCCGATTGATTTAGAGGAACAGGTTCAGCTGACTGAGTTGCTGGTTTAATTTTCTCCAGCACCTGTATTTTCTCCAGAGGCCTCCAGCTAAATTCAGGACAGGCCCAGTCTTAATTTAGTCGTAAGATCTGATGACCATAATTTGTTTTAATATCTAAATGATATATTTGGATAAAGTGCTGTGATGGTGGTCCTGCCTCTTACTTTAGAGATGCCATGAGAAATAGTAAATAGTTTCATTAACTTACCTTTGGAACCGAGACACCTGACTTGATGAGACACGAGGTTTGGTGTCATTTTTACTGATTCATATTGATTCCGTGCAGGTGTTTTTCCCAATCAAAGCTCTCTTGTAGCTTATGTCTGGTTCAGATCTGAAATAGCCAGTTGCTCTGCGAGGCAGGATTGTAGAAAATCTAGAGCTGGAGCAGCAAGGGAATGATAAGTCAGAACTGAGGTATTTTGACAACTGGATGGAGGCTGCTGTGGGTGAAGACGGTTGTTCTGTACCCGCAAACTCAAACGTTAGGGACCGTTGCAGATGTGAAGCTGCAGATCTGAAATAGCAGACTTGACAGGATTGACTTGCAGAATTGACAAGTGCTGGCACAGGTTTAGGATGCCCAGACTGAGAAAAGTTAAGTGTAGTACATGTCACAATTGTGGTAGTTGGTGCTGATATGAACAAGAAAAGCAGATGGACAGAGCTCTGCATCCGAAGTTCTAACGCTCTAAGGGTTGAGTCAGAGCAGTTGATCTTCCTTCATTCCCAGACAAAAACTGAAATGGATAATGGAGCAAGCGAGCAAATCTCAAAATGGATGAGGTGAAATGCTGTTGGGCACAAAGCAAAGGGCCTGGTTTCTCTTTGTCCTGATGGAGGGAGGAAGGCGGTATTGTTTCAGCTCAAATTCTGTTTGTGGGTAGGGGCCAAGATCCTGCCTTGTCATCCAGGACAACTGTGAGTTGCAGAAAGTAATCCTTCCTTGGGGACAGGAGCATGTTCATATGCTGCCTTCTTCTGAGGAGGTGGAAGAATGAACAGAGCCCTGCAATAAAGCTGTCGAGTTTGTCACAAACTCCCTGGGTTGTGGGAGGGAAGACTTGGAAGAGTCCTGCTCTTGGGATGCGAAAGCGAATCATGAGACAATGGGTTGTGGTAGGTGTATGGGGAAGGAGCGATTTATTTTTCCCCTCTCCTGTTATTTCTGCCATGCAGACCCTCCCCACCAGGGTGCTTCTCCTGCACAGCTGCAGGTATTGGTGGGGCAACTTGGGTGCAGTTTCCACAGTGGCTGACATCTCCCCGGAGGCTTTCTGTATCTAACCCACTTGGGCTCGCACAACAGTCAGGGACGTGTGTTCCTCCGCCTGCTGGGCCCCTCAGCACAGCTGCCATTGCCAGCCGCAACATTTCACCATCAAGTGGACCGCTGGTATACAGAAAGGCACATATCTCTGATTTGTATTCAGTTGTTTGCAACCACACCCGTCCATCCCTTTTACTCTTCTTGTGGCTGTCTGTCTCACCATCTGCCGGAGCTGGGGTACAAGAACTTCTCCGTGTAGCTGCTGCGAATAACCGTTCTCTCCCGAGATGACCATGGCCTCTCCAGAATGCAGGAAATCTGAGATTCAGCTCTGCTGTCACAGCTGAAAAGGGGTCTGTAAACACAAGAATGGCTTGGTGACATCTAAAGCAACAAGATTCTTTTTGGCTAAGGATGGGAAAGGTTATTCCCCTGGTCCCTATAAATCCTGTGTATCCTAATTTAGAAAGAATCCAGTCTTGAGGCACTGAGTGTCCCCCTCATTAAACTGCTGATGTTATACAAGCTGGTTTCCATCTTCACCCTGAGGAAGAATATGTGCTAGAGTGATGTTAAAAAGGTGTCCACCCTCTTTTCTATTTCCACTCTCTTGCTGGTAGTAGCCAGGAGAGTTGAGGGCAGTTTGCCTACGCAGGTGTCCTGAGATGAGCCTTAATGCCAGGGTAGGGAGAGGGAACTGTGAACCTGCTGAAACTGTTGTGTGTGATGATGATGTTGTCTTGTTTGTCCATGTCCTACCTCTTCTTTTCTTCAATTCCAGCGAGATGGTTGTCCTAAGATTGTCAACCTGGGCAGTTCCAAGACAGATCTCTTCTATGAAAGGAAGAAGTATGGCTTCAAGAAGAGGTGATCCTACCTGTATGGGGCTGCACCTGCTGTCGGGTTGGCGAGAGGGTCCTGGAACATCTCTGGACTTGCTGTTATTGAAAACCAGTTGATTATTTTTCTAAAACAATACAAATTCAGTAGTATTCTTGGGGGTTGGAGAAGTAACAGACTGAGTGGGCACTGGAACCTGATTAGAGCTGAGTATCAGAAAGAACAAATGAGGGTTACTGTCTTTTAGCTTTTCAGAAGTTTTGCTAGTACCTGCTCCAGCCCACTGTAAAAATCCTGGTGAGCAAGTGGAGGAGACCAGCTCAGTAAAAACCAAGAGCCCTTTCCGATGTGGGGAACACCTTGCATCTGCTCTTACCAGCCCCCCCCC